AAGGATAATAAAATATCAATTTGTATGAGTCATATATGCATAGTGAAGATAAAACGGGTCTGAGAATTTAATTTAAGTGTAACACAACTTATTGTTCTAATTACAAACTTCGTAATCTTAAGAATAATATTTATTTAAAGGGAAAGAAGAGAGAAAAGAAGTGAACAATTAGTGAAAAGTTTTGATCCATGATAATAATAATTGTGTAATGAATATCAACCTCAGAAGGAAACCAGCAATTGAAAAAATAAAATAAAAAATCCATTAAATAATAATAATAATAATAATAATAATAATAATAATAATAATGAAGAGTCATGGCTTTAAGTTCACGGCCCATAATCATGCGTTTTCGTTTAAGGGGTTCGCAACTATAAAAGTTACGAGACAGACGCTTAGACGATTGATATGAGTATGTTCATCACAGTATATATGACATCAGTGAGATTCAAACTTTTGGGATCTACTAGAGAGGTAATTACTGCTCACAGCGGCCTGCTTGAATATCTGGGCTACCTGTTTCTGCCATTTAATTATTTCAACAATTTATCTGTTTTTCATTTCGTTTTAACCTCTCATTATATCCATTAATCGTATAGCCTATACAGGCGCGTCTGTGAAAGGTCTATGACCTTTCGCCGCACAAGTTACAACAGAGTACAACAAAAAACATCATGGTGGTTGGCAATATGCGTTGAAGAGAATGAACAATAGTTGTATATCGATTCCCGAGCTGCTAAATTCTAACTGCCGATCACTAATTACCAAGGTGGATTATCTTATGTATCTTAATTGTGGTGTCATCACAATTCAAGAATCTTGGTTAAATGATTTACAGGATGACTGCCTTGTATCATTAGGTGATTTCAAAATTTATCGTTAGGATAGATCAAACAATAAAAAGAGATGTGACGGCGGTGTAGCTACTTTTGTAAACATAAACTGTGGTCGATCTACGTTTGCTTGTTTCAAGTTTTCAAATGACTTGATCGACTGTCTAACTCTAAGATGTCGTCCAAAACATCTAAATAAATACAAATATGTTTATGTTACCAATATCTACGTGACTCCAGATTACACATCATCTGCACTATCTGTTTTCGCTGACGAATTCACTGAGTTCGCTGTTACCGCCTTCAGTGATTCACTTTCAGTTGTATGTGGTGACTTCAATTCATGTGACTGTAGCTTTCTTACGTCACTAGGTCAACAAAATGAAGTGGATTTTCCTACCCGTTTGGATGCTCATTTAGACTTCGTCTTCATTAATGATGTGGGTATATATAACGTGAAAAATAATGCTGCTGATTAAGAGGTAGCGAATTATTGATCGGACCAAAGACGCGCAAACACGTAGAACGACCTAGGGTTCTGATTGGTCCCGCTTCCCTGTCTAACCCAGCCAGTTGAGTCCAGAACGCAAGTCACAGCCCCGGATACATGAATCATTATATTTCAAACATACTTTGTTTATATACCAGTCAAGCAGATCACAACGTACCATAAAATAGAAGATAACATTGTACAATAATGGCCAACAGGAAAATAACACCTTAAATAAATATTGACCAATAAGGTGATACCATTTCATGTCCAAGGATAGCATTAGGCTCAACAGGATAATTTTTGGGATATTTCCCTGAATATCCCAATAATATGCGACTCGTAAACGTGCTCCATTGTCTAGCTCGGATCACTGTATAATTCGTGTTCTACCTAAATTATATGGAAAGCATGGGAAGAGTACACTCTTACATCAAACCAAGAAAGTCAAATATAGGAATTACTCAGAAGAAAATATCCGAAATCTGAAAAACATGTTTCCTACAACTAACTGGGAATTATTTACAGATGACTTACTGGAAATCACTACTGATGCTATCACTTGTTACCTTAAATTCTGTTTTAATGTTTGTTGTCCCACTGAAACCATTTTTGTAAGTTTTGATCGACTTACATCTTCACAACTAAAACGATTACGGAGAGTGAAAGAAAGAATGTACAAGGAGAAAAACTAATGAAGTTCGTAAGATGAATGGTCTGATAAGCCTGGAGATTAGATGTCTCAACTGTATGTTTACTCAAAAACTCTTGTCTTGCAAAAACTCTCCAAGTATGTGGAAACTCTTCAAAGAACTTACAGGTGACAGACAATTTAGAAGCATTAACCAGCTGAATGTTCATGACTTAAATAAGTCTTTTGTACGTCAGTCATCTGATGTAATACTCCCTTCATCCACAGTTTTAAAGAATAGCTGTTTTCTTAGTTTCACTGAAACTGATGTCCGAAGATGTCTCCAGTCACTTAATTCATCCCGATGTTTAGGACCTGATAGTGTCCCGAACATCCTTTTTAAAAAGTTTGTTGATAGATGAAGACTACGTTGATAGATTACACTTGAAAATCGCAATGAGTGATTGTAGATGTCGAGTCACAATGTTCAGAATCAGTTGTAGTGTCAGATGTATTCATTCTTTATCTTCCTTTAGGTCTTGAATTCCGATGTTCCTTCATTTCGAACCATCATCTCAATCCTCTGACTCTCTTGCTGTCATTGATACTGCTATTATTTCAACTTTTCTCCTCGTCTTGATAATTTTACCTCGCTGCCCAGCTGTGGTTTGACGACTGTTGGTGATTCTCATATGTGTCATTCTACGATGGATATAACTAATTTTAAATATCTACTGTCTTAATTTATAGTATGGGAATTTTTCTGTACAACAGATTGATTGAACTTAGCTTTAGCATGAGACATAAACGTCATCTAAACTCCACTTTGGGATCCCATAATGCTTGTGACATTGGATGCTCTTAGATAAACACAGTGTTGAAGATCAATTATCTTGGTGTCACCTTTTCCTCTGATCTCTCTTGGTCTTCTCATGTTTTATTGTTATCGAAGAAAGTTTCCGTCTGACCAACTACATAAAAAAATTGCATGTTCTTGGGATTACTCGTCATTTACTCTTACAATTTGTCAATTCTTGCATATTACCTATAATTCTTTACTGTTCTCCATCATTCTTTCCCGGACTTTTGAGAAAAGACTTTGCTGTATTGCGGAGAGTGCTGAAGGCAGTTAACAAAGTGTGTGGTGAATCTTTCGAGTTCATACTTAATATGGTTGTGGATAGACATCTAAAGTCATGCAAAATCCTGACAGGTTTTATCTTATCAGATACTAACCACCCCCTTCACCCATATCTTTCTCCTTGTACATCTTCTGGTAGAACGAGACGAAATTACATTAAAACCCATGCACGCAAGCAAAAGTATAAAAGTTCTAAAATACCTTACCTAGCAAATATACTCTGTGACGAACAGGTTGTTAGATTTAACCTAGTCAATAACCTGCATTCTTAACATGTTTCTAGTTTGGAAAGTTGTACAGTTTTTTCAGATTTTGTTTAGCCTTTTTTCCTTTTTTTGTCTTTGACTTTGTATTTTTTGCAAAAGAATCTTGTTGAAACAACCCGTGCTGAGAATTCTATGTTGTACCAAAATATAATATTAATAATAATAAGTAATTGACTCATTAGAGGTCAGAGACTCAAATAAGCTCGTTGGAAAAGATGACTAGCACAGACCGTCGGTCTTCTGTCCTCAAAACGTAAATCTAAACCTGAATCTATGATGGGAAGCGACCAGCCAAAAACGTAAATAAAAATTTCGTCATAAATTCTTAAAAGTGGTAGTCGATGAATCAAAACGTGTTTGGGAACATTAATGATCCCTTAACAACCACTCAATATGTCGTCTGCTTTATTATCCAAACTTAGAACATCATAAACAAAGGTTGATCATGCGATTCTGGGCATTCCATCTCCTAAAGAGTTGCCTTAACCACTTCGAATACCACCCTGTTAAAACTAACAGAAACGCTAAGTTTTCAGCCAAAATGGGGCTCTTAAGAATATATAATGAATTGCGAGACCACAGTTTGTAAGCTGTTTGTTTCACAACCTCAAAGGTCTTGTACAGGTAATGCTAGTTCGGAGAACTGGTTGGAACCTTGATGGTCGAACGATATTAAAGTCAGCGAAATTTATGCCCTACTTCACCACACATGTGTTCTACCTACTTAACACGTTTAGAGCAGCGGTATGTCGAAAGTCTAATACGAGAGTGCTTCTGGATACACATATTTCGGATATGTATTAAAGCAAACAGACGACGAGAGATGTGGATCGGAGCTATAAGGCCAATCAGCGACCAACATGCTTATCTATATCTGTGACTAACGGGGATAAATTTACGAGAATCTCAAAGTATTTTATGCAAGCGCCAACAATGCAAAAAACCACAGAATTATGCGTTTTACATCATCTGTTTTTGTCAATGTTACTCAAACTTCAATAGGAGTCTACAGGTAAGGTAACGGTAACCAAAACATTTTTACACTGACAAATTCCACAACTTACAGAAAGTGATATCGATTCATGAGGCATATTGTGAGCTGTTAGTCGATTAGGCAGGAACTTGAACAAGGTCTGGTGTTAATTGTAATTGACGGTTTAAGCAAACAATTTACTGACACGGTAGCATAATTTACAACTAATATAAGGTGCCTTTCACCAAAATATGAAAAGGCAAACGATGGAAAAAAGAAAACGATCGGGACGAATAGTATATTGAATGGAAGCGGAGTCAGGTGAGTGCTAGATTTCTAAGCTGATTGTCTAAATGACTAAAAGCTACACAAATGTGGTGCTTCGCGATATATCCAAGAGAGATGACATGACATTCTCGTATAGTAGAGTATGGGAAACTGAAAAAGCCAACTTTCATATCAAGTATCTACAAAGTTATTCATTTTGAAGAGTCAGTTATCTTTGCAGACCTATTAGCCATGTGGCATTTTACTTCTTGTGATTTTCTCAATCGCCAGTTTCATTATTAACTAGTGTTTCATTATTCAATGTCCCTGGTGGTTCATAATAGGAATACAACTATTTACCCTCGAGGTCTCTTGTTTAACATCCGAATATAAATCTCAGGGAACCGCTAATTTATGATTTCTCTCTAAATTGGCATTTACTTGAGAATAATGTATTACGAAAGCGTTTGCCAGACATATTGATCGTTATGGTGTTGAGACTTGAGTAATTGCAAAAATAAAAGCTTTGATTAGCTTCTAATTGGGTGACCATATTAAAACAAGTAAACAACAGATGTGTTTGTCTTCACCACTTAGTGACTTTGAAGTGGAATACGTGGTACCGCTGATGTTGTAATGTTGCTCGCCGATGTCTTAGTTTGTTTTCTCTCATTATTTGTAAGGACAAGAAGCCTTTGGGTGCACTAAAATTTAATTTAATTACAGATTGGTGTTCCTGCTAACGACACAAAATCTTGTGCTGTTTCAGGGTTCACTTCATTACTCAAGTGCTCCTCATGTTCAGAGTTGAAGAAGTTCAAATTAGAAAAGCTTGAAACATCTTGTTTTCAGTGTTGTGAAGATGAAAATGTATCTGGAACTTCTAAGGTATGTAGATTTCCTAGTTTATTTCCACAGAAATATGCTTTTGCAGAACTAGTAACTTGCTCGTGATCCTTAGAACGCTATCCTCAAGTGCTTGGTAAGTTTTTGTTGATAGGAAATAGGAATCGTTATTATTTAGTAATGTTAAATTTCGCTAATTTCCCACCATGGAGTATGTGGTAGTTATTAGCTGGTCTAACTTTTCGATAGTCACAAGTCTGTCTATGTTTGAATTACTTTCGTTAGCATATTTATATTTTGTAAAAGTAAGCCCATACTGTACTGTGTCTATTCTAACCGGATATCACAAATTCATCAAAAATGGAAGGTTATGGTGGTGACGAGATTTCATACAGTGAGAAGAGTATTAAGGTTCTGATTATGTAGAAATATTGGGGTATCTGGTAGCCGTAACCGTCTTTGATACCGCATTTCGTAGAGGCAAACTACACAACATAAATATCTATGTGGTTTTCACGTCTTTGGGAAATGTCTTCTTGGTATGGATATTCTATCACACTTAAAGTATGAGCATTTTGTGGTGAAACTCTATATTATGGACGACCCTTGAACGTATTTTTAAGTGACCTTGAGAACATTAGCCAATCAGAAGAGAGTTAGTATAAAGTAAAAATATATTATGAAAAACTGATGAATTACAATGGATATTCTTCTACATGATTTAAGGTTTGATAAAGGTTGAGAAGTTGAGTTTAACGATCGTAAAACCCAAGTACCTGTCAAGTATATTCACGGAAGTGCTACTTACCCAATCTTCCTTGATGAAACGTCTTTTATTGTATTTTCGCTTTCTAACTACCGCCTAATCTATTTCCACTATCTTTCCAACTCCTCCAAATGATTCATGTACTCATGTCATTTTCATTGTACATATATCACGACAATATTTATACCACTGAACGGCGGAAGTTTCCGTAACATCTGCAAAAGCCGCAGCTAATGTTACTGGAGACTTTATGATCCAATTTGCAACGATTATCATGATTTGTCTTAGCCTTAGCCGTGACCGGGCAAAAAAGTGCCAGTCCGAGCAGATATTTTCCTCCAACATATAGGACAATGAAATACAATTTCATCACGGTAGTCTGCACACCGTGCTGCAGTCATTTGATTGCCGCAGTCACAGACACAGGAACTTCTTAATAGTCCCATCTGCTGTAGTCTCTCAACAATCACCTCTTCTCTAAAATCTGCTGTAAAACGATCGAATGTGAGCATCTCGCATTGAACTTAGCGCCGTGACCTTCAAACTCCTTAAACGCTTCTGACTGGCTCGTCCATAAATTAGAGTCCTACCCATTTTGTGTATACAGCGTGTCTTAATCGCACAAATAGCCCAAAGGCTTGTCCCAAATCATAATTAGGTAGGATGTAGGGTTCTTCTACTATATTTCGTTTCTGAAGCTGTTTTGTTTGTCGATCTCGCATTATTTCTCCCCATTTGTAAATACTATTTTAACCTGGACAGATCTACGTGTTCAGCTCACTTTGGTCGTGAATCTTTTCATTGTGTAAGATGCGCTGTATTCTGCGTACCAAGTTTAAAACAATAAAAATAGCGATACCGCAAAACTTGAACCTACCACTGCAGACGTTCTTTTCAGATTACCAAGTCAGTTTAGTAAAACTAAATGCTTATTGGCTTGTTTAGGGGAATCTAATCATCTTTGCAATTATAACCATTTACTGTTCCTTTTAGCTATATCTAACTGTAAACTAGAGATAAATCATCCTAAAATCTAAACCACCAGTAAATCTATCTTTTGTTTTTGGAAATTCATTTTTTAGCATTCATTGACAGCAAGGATCGGAAGAGTATGACTAATCTAAAAGTGGTATACGAAAGAGGTCATAGACCTACAATTCGCATGCTCAACGAGAAAAGACAAGTGCAAGAAGAGATTCCTATCGACACTTGGGATAGCGACACAATAATAGAGTTTGTTAATGAACGCATCACTAATCAATAAAGTTGTCAACAGCTTTTCATGCGCACTCTTGACTTGTATGATGATACATGAACTAAATCTCTTATAGGAGATGTTCTGTATTTGATGTTTAGTCCAGAGTGCTATTGATTAGTATGTGTTTGTTTATACTGTTTCTTCACTTTCTTTTAAACCCTTTCTATTGTTTGTTCTCAAACTTGGTTCAGTAGATCATTTTTGTGTCATGCGCCTGTATAAAGTATTATTCCCAAAATTGCAGCGTATTTCGTAATCTGTTGTGTTTCCTCGACTTGTTCTAATAAACATAAATATCTGTATACTTCTTAATGATTTCGGATATATTAGTACTACTATATCCACTAAAACTCAGTAAAGTTATTATTGGGTTTTTTGTTGTCTCGATTTCTAGTTACCCTTCACGCACTTGAATTTCGTAAGCTGCCACTGCTGTTTTCCAATATCGCACCATAAATGAGTATAGTAAGATTGTTGTTTGACTGACTAATTGTATGGTACGGGGTTGGTTTAGCTAACGTAACTGGTCATCGAACAACGAGTTCACAGCTCTTGTTCTTATCATCCTCGAACTAATTTGGTTGATTTGGTAGAATATAATGATTAGAAGTATTCGAATTGAAGTGCTAACTAGGAATTCCAGAAGTAGCGTAATTCAAGCCACATGGAACTGGATCAGAACGAACGAACGTATTGTATTTGGAATTCTTAATAAGCGGGGAATCAAGTACAAAAGAGTCTTTAGTTCGTAAAAATACCACATAGAACCTAAATGAATGAATATTCCAGCCAATGTACTTCTAATGAGTGGTCATGATATGCAAGCCCGACCATCATTTCAAGGCATCAGGCACTACCGGGTACCATTTCTATGTCCCTGGTATATTTCTTTTATTGGAAGTTCACTTTTTGGTCAGTATTCTACTAATAATTAAGAGATCGCCGTAGAATAACAGTGTGATGGATAGCAGGGATAATACTAACAACAATTATGATCTGGGGTAGGCGTAATTGGGATTTTGGTGCATGAGCACACTACATAATTCTTAAAACACAAATGATATGCGATAAGTTAAACATTTAATCAAGAGTATCCATCTTTTAGACCCTTTAACTGAAGCCAGGGAATATGTTGTTGGAAGTAATGTTCTGAGTGTGTCTATTTATTAAGTGCGATTAAATATATGAGTCTAGTCATGAACTGTAAATATATGCAGAATTAATTAAAGAGGCTGCAAAAACATATGAATAGTTTTCACATTAAGGGTAAACCATTGTACCTTATAAGAAAACAAGCAACATGTAACTAAATCTGTGAATAAAATAATTATTGTGTATGCTATAACTAATCGTACCCCCAGATGCCCTGGTACGGCCGAGAGTGGGGAGAGTCCGCTCTCCCTCTGGAAATGCTCTCACATGGCCACGCGTATATAGCCTCTGCCAGGGAAGTCCTACTCACTGCCTTCTCGTGGCGAGGGTGTTGTTTACGAAAATGAGAGGACGAAAAGCGAATGTACGGCGCTTTAACCAGATTCCAAACTAATGTTGCACATGGGCTCCAGTATCCTGCCGTAACAAATGGCGTACAAACCAATTTTTGGTCACCGGCTACCATGGGACTGCATCTCCTTACGATGCTCCACTGCCTTGTGGATCAGACCTTCAGGTCGAAGGCTCGGGGTGTGGCCCTCTAAGGAAACCACCTGCTTCGGTTTGGGCACCCGGGCAGTATCACAGCCCTCAGACATATCGAGTGAGATTTGTGTGGCGCAGTTGTATTTGCTGCCTCTTTGTACCAATATCTATGTTTTATAATAAATAATAACTAATCGTATTTCTAGTTTTAAACACTCATTTCAATGAGGTCGTAGAAACATATTTACTTTCCTGATATGTAATAGAAGGGAAATATAAAAGCTGATAACTCCAGGTATTCAGTCTAATTATTTTCCAAGTCATCTGGAAATCTGTGTATCCGTTTTTGCTAGAATTCCTGACTTCAAAACTTTTACCAATAACAATAATGCTACTTAGTAACATTAGTAGTCTCAAACATTTTACATCAATAAGTCAACTTTAGTGGTCATATTAGTTTGTAAAGGACACATCATCAGGGTAATATTTGAAAGCTGATTAAAACTGTATTCATATATTCTTGTTAAAATTCGATTTATAGGAAAAGCCTAAAAATTCTTGAGATTCAGTTGCCACTGATAACTATGAAATTACGTTATCTTAGATATCTCTCATTGACGGATCCAAAACCAAGCTTGAAATTTTTATGTAAGATTTACAAGACTTAAATTTAATCTTGGAATAATGTCAATGTACTCTTTAGGAATTTGTCAAATCCACTTATTTATCTATTGAATACTCTATTACAGCATTGGTATACGGGAGATTATAGTATATTTTCAATGTTTAGATTTTGTGTAACTGTTCAAGTTAAGACGCTGAAAAGTATTGATCAACTGCTATATATATATATAGTGTATTAACAATTTTTCGAATGTTATTTAAAGTGGCTGCGAAAGGTGCGACCTTCGTAAAATAGTTCTTTGTTTTTTCTATTTTGCTTTGTTTTAAATGAGATCTGTATTTTTGTGTTTAATTTGGTTGTTATTTTATTAGCAGTTATATTTATAAATAGTTTTTATTGAGTATAGTGTTTATCTTTTGGGAAAACGAACTATCCTAAGAATGTCACTTTTCATTTACATCGTTCGAAGAGATCTAATCTAATTCCATCTTTTTATAATAAATTTGTCCACTAAGTTTACTTGGTGGATTTCTTTCTTAAATAGTGAGTGAAATATTTGTTTAAACTAATGAATATTTATTTCGTTTTGAGTAAATTTATAATCTGATGAAATATACAATTATCAGCCTAAAAATTATCTTCTTTATATACAACAAGTATGCTTCATTTTCCAATCTAGTATTTGAGATAAATATTAGCAGGAAAGCAATATAAAAATTAGAATTCACTTCCAGCTTACCAAACTTAGTTGTAAAGATTGTTCTTTGATTGTATTTGTTCCAAGGTGACTGTCAAATCATATTCTTGGATTTCGAATTTATTTCTCGGTTATCTACATACTGTGATTCTAACTAATTAGTTACAAGTTTCTAATCCCAATATTTAAAAAATAAGATCATATTAGAAATTGCTATACATTGAGTATAACTCTCAGCTAGTATTTATTTTTAGGTTTACAAATTGTTAAACTCATAGACGAAGTACGATCACCACCAAAAACAGCATTAATTTAGTGATTTTTATATATTTGAAAATTCCCATTTTGCCATTTGGTAAATAAAGAAGGAACGAATTGAGCGAAGAAATTTCTTTTCAATTAGTTTTCATCATGGCTCTACACTAATATATATACGTTTTACAATAATAATATAATACTCATCGAGTGGATACGTTACGTAATAATTACATAATGACATTTAAATTAACATTAATTAATTGGAAGAAAGAGGATTAATAATATTCAAAGTGATCAAGAAGTTGCTAAGTTGCGTAATGTAAGAAACAAAGAAGGAACAGAATTTTAACGGATGGTCAATAGGATGGTAGTTACGTAAGAATCAAGAGATGAATGTTGAGAAGTTATTAAGTTCAAAAGCAATAGAAATAAAATTACAAAAGTTTTTAAAAATTAAAAAATGGAAGAAGTATGAAAAATAGTTCTTTTGAAGGAAATCTTAAACTGATGGCCAGGGCAGGGAAAGTGGTTGTACGAATCTCTTTTGTATGCAAAGGTCAGGTTTGTGAACATGGATTGCGATGGCTTCCGCAATGTGCAAGAGGCGCACACGTAAACCATGTGGCAAATTAGATGGGATATTGTAGATAACCTTAAAAGCTTTATTCAATTCGACTTGATGACCTGTGTCAACCAAGTGAGAGAGAATAGAACTTTTAATCACTTTTACCTGTCCTTTGTTTAACCACGACGGATGATGTTCAGTAATGCGGTGACGGACTTGCCGAATCGTACGCCCAATATAACTGGCTCCACAGGAGCAGTTGAAACGATAGATACACATAGATTTGGCGAATTCTGGCAGTCTGTCTTTAATGGATGTTCTTATTTTCGGTTGGTTGTAGAAGATGACATTTAATTTGGCAGCATTAAATGTTTTTTGTACCGCTCTTCTTAGTTTCTGAGTCATGACTTCTTCAATGGAGTCATTTATGAATTGTAGTTTTATGAATAATATCTTCTTGGGGACAGTGGGTATTTTTGTCCTTGTTTTCTTCTCCGTCATATGTTTTTCGATGAATTTCATTGGGTACCCATTCAGACTGAGTAGGTTCCGAATATTGTTCAATTCATCTTCAATAGTGTCTTCAGAACAGATCATTCTAGCACGATGTGTCAAGATCTTTATTAAGTTCCTTTTGTATCTGATTGGAACTGCACTGTGGAAATGAGTGTATTGACCAGCTGCTGACTTTCTGTGTACTCTTCTTTTTATAGTTCCGTCTGTTCTTCTAGTTAGTTGGACATCTAGAAAAGATATGCTGTTATTTTGTTCATCTTCTGATGTAAAGTTAATTGATGGGTGAACGTTATTAAATATATTAAGTAGATTGTGCTTATCATTTTCTTTTTCTAATACTATGAAGGTATCATCTATATAGCGATAATAAGTTGGTAAATGGCTAATTATGCTTTTAAGTGGTCCGTTTTCCAGTTTTGCAAGGAAAATATCAGCCAGTAGAGGGCCCAATGGTGATCCCATGGCAACTCCATCTAGCTGTCTATAGTATTCGTTGTCAAATCTGAATTGTGCATTCATTGTGCATCTGAGAATTAACTGTTTTATCGAGGATGCTGGAATCGGGGTTTCTATACGTCTCTCTGTTAGTTCATTACAAATAAAATCAACTGTTTCTTGTAATGGAATGTTAGTGAATAAAGATGATACATCAAGTGATAACATGAAATTATTCTTGACTGATAGATTTTTTATGTTCTCAACAATTGGTACCAACTAACTAGAAGAACAGACGGAACTATAAAAAGAAGAGTACACAGAAAGTCAGCAGCTGGTCAATACACTCATTTCCACAGTGCAGTTCCAATCAGATACAAAAGGAACTTAATAAAGATCTTGACACATCGTGCTAGAATGATCTGTTCTGAAGACACTATTGAAGATGAATTGAACAATATTCGGAACCTACTCAGTCTGAATGGGTACCCAATGAAATTCATCGAAAAACATATGACGGAGAAGAAAACAAGGACAAAAATACCCACTGTCCCCAAGAAGATATTATTCATAAAACTACAATTCATAAATGACTCCATTGAAGAAGTCATGACTCAGAAACTAAGAAGAGCGGTACAAAAAACATTTAATGCTGCCAAATTAAATGTCATCTTCTACAACCAACCGAAAATAAGAACATCCATTAAAGACAGACTGCCAGAATTCGCCAAATCTATGTGTATCTATCGTTTCAACTGCTCCTGTGGAGCCAGTTATATTGGGCGTACGATTCGGCAAGTCCGTCACCGCATTACTGAACATCATCCGTCGTGGTTAAACAAAGGACAGGTAAAAGTGATTAAAAGTTCTATTCTCTCTCACTTGGTTGACACAGGTCATCAAGTCGAATTGAATAAAGCTTTTAAGGTTATCTACAATATCCCATCTAATTTGCCACATGGTTTACGTGTGCGCCTCTTGCACATTGCGGAAGCCATCGCAATCCATGTTCACAAACCTGACCTTTGCATACAAAAGAGATTCGTACAACCACTTTCCCTGCCCTGGCCATCAGTTTAAGATTTCCTTCAAAAGAACTATTTTTCATACTTCTTCCATTTTTTAATTTTTAAAAACTTTTGTAATTTTATTTCTATTGCTTTTGAACTTAATAACTTCTCAACATTCATCTCTTGATTCTTACGTAACTACCATCCTATTGACCATCCGTTAAAATTCTGTTCCTTCTTTGTTTCTTACATTACGCAACTTAGCAACTTCTTGATCACTTTGAATATTATTAATCCTCTTTCTTCCAATTAATTAATGTTAATTTAAATGTCATTATGTAATTATTACGTAACGTATCCACTCGATGAGTATTATATTATTATTGTAAAACGTATATATATTAGTGTAGAGCCATGATGAAAACTAATTGAAAAGAAATTTCTTCGCTCAATTCGTTCCTTTTTTATATATTTCTCTTAATAATGATGTAGGTTGTATAAAGGCTGCTTTTCAGAGTTTAAACATCTGTTTTTATTGAAATTTAGTGAAGATTGAATTAACATATTTATCTGATTATTTTATCTGGTTTTCCCCATTTACAAATGTCGAGTAATGCTTTGTTTAGGAAGATCAGTACCTGCATCAACTATGAAGAGATGTTTTTGGTTATCACCACTTTGGATTTCGAAACCACTTGCTTTATAAAACCCGCATTTTAATTGGGGGATTCTCAAGAACACTAGAAATGTATAAATGCTCCTTTATTTTCCCATATACTAGTGTCGGTTGGAGCAGAGAATAAATCCTTGAATACCTTTTGTTTTTCTAATGGTTGGCGACTGAATTTAAAGTTAGTGACGGTGTACTTTAAGTCCTATTGAAGAATATTTGCGTTGAGTATACTCATTCTGTTAACATTTGCGTAGCTACAGCCGGGTCATGACAAATAACGTTATATATTAGTATTTCTTTCCAAATTATCACTCAAGAACTTACATTTGATCTAGATCATCTTTGAGCTAATTACTTCCATATCACGAATCTTTAAAATACAAGACACTGATGCATCACATTTTTCCTGAATATCGTTTCAGCCTTAAGGTTTTCAAATCAGTTTAACAATGATATAATTATTTGTTGGTTGATAGAAATAGTTAAATGGTCTAATTAATGCCCTTGCTGTGTATGAAATTACGAGGAAAACAATTGTCTACGCTTTATTTTTTGATAAACAATACCGATTGTGTTAAGCATTTACAAATACCAATATTTAAGGATACCTCCTAAACTGACAGTGCTTTGAACGAACAATACTTTTTATTATTTGTCTAGGCTGAAAATATTTTCTTAGATTTTTTTTAAATGATAAAAGAGAATAATTCTGTTATATCCTAGGGAAGATTAAATTATGGGTAACTTCTGAAAACTATTAATGGACTTATATATATATATATATATATTCTTATTGTATAACTATTCAATAACTAGATTATATATATCTATATCCCTCTTATTATAAGCTTCGTTTTGACCTATAGATTATTATTATATGATTTGCAATTCTTAAATTATGCTGAGTTTATTAGTTACAGTCTCCCACGTTCACAGAGTTAGGAGAACAAAGGACCAATAAGGACGCTAGGCTGCTCATACCGGTCGAACGTCATTGTCTTGGTACAGTACTAAGTTTGAATAAGTCGTATTTCGATTGGCGAGTAAATTATGTGATAATTAGCCGGTCTTAAAGTCACAACAAATTCAAAGATGAAATTAAAGAAATATAGATTATAAGTTAAATCATAATCGACAATATTACAACTTATTTTCCAAGTGTAGTTTCACCTACTCGACTTTGATCCTTCCTTCTTTCATATGGAGGCTTCTAATACTAAATGAACATGTAATCGAAAGAAAATGGATGAGATTTATCCAATGATTGAAAGTCCAATATTTCAATGATAGGGTCATCACTTATAAATTCAGTAGACTAAGAAGATGGTTGTAGATCGTTTGTCCCAGCTTTATTATTTCAGCCATTCTGAATAGTAGTATAATTAGATAACCAAGTATTATCTCGCGCAAAGCATTTCTTTGTAATTAAATTAATGTCTTCCCTGATATTCGCCATTCAGTAATCGAAAAATGAACATAATTCAGTAGTACGTTTGCGATATATTTCTTTGGTTATGTGAGTGTTAACAAAATAGTCAACTGATAAGATCATACCAGATGTTAGATATCTGAAATTGTGTCTAGATGTTTAAGTACGTAATCACTAGTTCATTGGAGTCTTCGACTACAAACGATCTTTGAAACGCCACCTTAAAAAAATATTTCTCCACTGTTTATTCATTTAATTAGTTTCACTACATTAATGTTGATAGTCAACCAGTCATAGTTTAAATACAGCCTAGTACAAGTGTACGTTAGCTCCATTACTCATACCACATCAGTACAATTAGATGAAATCAACATAGTGAATAGCAAAGGAGTCGAAATAATTGTAATAGCAATGATAGTGCGAAAGATTAGGTATTAAGAATAGAATTCGAGAAAAGTAAATGAAAAGGTACGTATAAAGAAATACTGAAACTCAAAATCTAGTGAACGATAAAGAACCAATACATCTTCACCATTGCGTTCTATTTCCAGCCATAATGTCTAACGTCTTCAACCACTGATCACTACCGGAATATGTGTAAAAAAGTAAACAAACATAACACTGACATAGAAAACGTTTTTCATTGTTGACAAGCTGGAACGTGAATAGTTACCATTTTCATATTGGATATAAAAGTCTGGCTTGTTAGAAAACAGTCCTTCCACCCAGGGAACAAAATTTTTTTTCACAATTAATAATATGTAAATATAATCCTACTTAAAACATGTTCATATTAAT